CCCAGTTTTTTTCCCGCTTTGTTGGGTGAACTCCATTGGGGCGGTTTGCGCCTTGAAGGGAGCGGCGACCCGCCCGGATCCCTCCTGGGGATTGGGTCGTGGTGCCTCGATGGGGACTCGCTCGAGGCAAAGACGGCTGTTGGTGGCAAATGGCAAGCCAACGTCGTTGCGGTGTGTGCGCAGGTTTTATGCCGTCGTAATGAAGTGCTTCTGAAGTACCTTGGCAGCGAAATTTTTGTGTCTTGTCCCGCGGGTCAATCCATCACACCCAAATCGAGGTACTTCAGGGGAGGCGGCAAAATAAATTGTCCCAGGTACGAGGAAGTGTGCACCATCGCCGCCAACGGCAGCAGTCGTGTTTTACTCCTCCCCAAAGACGGCAGTGATGCCAGAGCAACAGCCGCTTTGGGGCGCTTCATTTTGACCGTCCTTGCTGCCATTGCCGCAGTGGTGGTGGTGCCTGTTTGAGCTGTGGTGATGGGCCGCCGAGTTTACCAGAGAGAAGGCCATGAAATTCTCCCCATGTGTTTCGCATTGTCGCCACACGTGTGGAGCGGAGAATGGCAGAATATTCCGATGGTTAATTATTGTTAATAGGAAGTTGTGGAAGGAACGCGCTCCCGGATGGGGCCACTTCGATGAGCGACCGGCCTGTATTTTCTGTTTTTTATTTGTTTTGTTTTTTTCCCCACGGGGACACATTGGAACGTAGCGGGCTCGGTTTTTTTTTACCGGAGCCCTATCCCCGCACTACCGCTCTACATAACTGGGAGTCTGGCGGTTGCGGGACGCCAAATGCTGTTATTTACTGGGTTCACAACGAGGGCCCGGTAGTTGTAATGTGTTTTATGAACTATTTTTATTTTACTGGTCCGTGCGGGCGTTGGAGGGGAGGAGGCCTGCCTCGTGTTTATCACAGACAGAAAAATAGCCAGACGAATAGACAAAAATATATATATTTTACGGCTTTATTAGGAGCGTGTGAAGAGAATGATCGCGAGGAGAGCTGACTGCCTTAATTAATGAATATATACATATATACGGATAACACTAATGCATTTCTTTATGATACTTTTTCCTATCTTATGAATTCTTGGGAAGAACACGACTTTATTGGGGAGAGCAGCGGGGAACCGATGGCGGCTGGATAATTTGTTTATTTATTTTTATTTTTATTTTGTACCTTCCCACCCACTCAACTCCCCTTTTTTTGATTTCCACCTTTTGCGGCGGGGTCTTGTGTGGCTGGAGGACCCCCAAAAAAGTCCGCCACCTCGTAAGGAATTAAATAAATATACTTCATATCCTACCTGAGTATAAAAGGTAACTTGAACGGTCAAAAGAATATACATATATAATCAGAAGAAAGCGTTTGGATATTTAACTGCCTCTACCTTTACCTTCCTTTTTTCCCTTCCTATCTTCTTTTTCGGTTTCTATAAAAAATTTCAGGATTCGGCCAGCGGCACAGAAGATTATTTTTACATTTGAGGCTTTAGAAGAGAATGCTTGCGAGAGGGCTGGATAATTAAGTGAATATATAAATGCTGATAAAACGAAGATATCTCTGCACTATTTTTTTTTTTTCTTATGATTCTTTGGAAGAGCGCGATGGAATTAACCTCGAAACTGATAGCGGCAAGACGAATTGTTTTCTAGGAGCTTGTGAAGAGAATGATCGCGGGAGAGCTGACTGCCTTAATTAATGAATATATATATATACTGATAAAACTAATGCATTTCTTTATGATACTTTTTCCTATCTTATGAATCTTTGGGAAATAAACGACTTTAAGGGCATCAGGGGGCCGATAGAGGCAATATGATTTATTATTTTTATTTTTAGACACAGCCAGTTAGGTTTAAAGGAAATGGCATTGGTTCTATACACAGCCTTCGAGTGGAGTGATATTGGCGCCCCTGTGTCCGGCCTGGTACGCCGACATGGCGCTATTTAGCTGCAGCTCACTTTCATGGATGGTAACGAAGCGCCCAATGCGACGTTAACGGTGTCCACCACATCGACGGGCTTACGATGGACCTCGGGATCCACCGTCAAACCATGGGAGGACACAACCCCCACAGGACATGTTGCGAATCACCGGGCGCCTCAAATACCAAATTTCGGGACTCAAGTGCTCCTGCTCACCGTGTGGGGGCGGCCCGGGAGTTGGGAGTCCACCAAGGGTTCATCATGGCTGAAAGGGGGCGGTCGATCACGGACTACGCCCCTGCTATCGCGGATGCGCGGGATCGAAACGGTCAGCCTAATTCGCAGGTCGAAGAGGCGCGTAACAACCCATCGGCGCGCGAATCCAACATTGCAAGGGCCTGCGATCATGTTGGACAACAAGAAGATGCGCTCGCCGGTCGCGAACAGCAGTTGGAGGCGACCCGCGCCCAACTACAGGAACGAGAGGCACGCGTTAACGCAAAAGAAGCGCAGCAGGCGGCGTGGGAAACGGCGGCGAAGGGCCGGGAAGACGCCCCCACGTCTCCGAGAGGTCCGACAGATGGACCTGTCGCGCGTCAAAATATGGCCGAGAATGGCGTTACCAAACAACCGCTTCGAAAGCATCGCTTGATGACTGTGGGTGCGTCGTCACGCACGGCCCAACGAACTCCGGCGCGAGAGAGACGGCAGGTTATTCCTCAGACGTCTCAGGGCAATTTTGAGTGACCACATTTTCATCCCTCGATGCCTTTGCCCTCCAGCACTTCACTTTGGACGATAATTTCACTGCAGAAGAAGAGAGACGAAATTTCCGCGCCTTTGACGTCACCACTTGGGCCCCGCGTATATGGGATGAGGGCGTTTCCGGTGACTTTTTAGACCTCCGGGGCGCATACAATTATTGGAAACGGGCGGACGACCAGGCTCAACCTGTATTTGACAGTTTGTTTGCGTGGATCGGTGCGCTTGAAGCAGAGCGGGATCCCACCGATCGCTTCATGAATTTGGAAAGGATCCTACTGCGGGCATTCCGGATGCAGCTCATGATGGCATCCGGCCCCGGCATCCCGGTCTTCAGCATTTGCGCCCGACCGTGTTCCGCCGTTCATGAGGCTGACGCCTATGCGAGGGCAATCCAGATTCCCTTGGAACGACGAGGGACGCAAATATCGTTGCGATGTCAGTTATGTCATGTTACGTGTCCATAAACATCTAAAAGCAATGTACGAGACGCGACTGGAGGAGGTTACTCGCAGCGCGGACGGCCGTCAAGAAACGGCGAGGGGCTGCTTGCTGCTTCTTATGAAAGCGGACGACGGCAGCCCCATCCATTCCACCACCTCCCGCTATTCCGCAAAGACGTCGCACCGCACCGCCGATGCTCCACCCGATATTTCAAATTGCCCAACGCAATCGTCGAGAAGGGCAATGGAGCTTATCCGCCAACGACGCTCGACTGTGGTACGACGAAGCACCGATATCCGCGCTTTGGGCCAGCCACACTAAGAGAGGGAACGATGTGGCTCGAGAAATGTGGGCCCCGCCAACGTGGTAGCAGAGAATGTCCCTGGAAGGGCAATTTACCACCTTTTGCTGCTCGTACGAACAGACAACCAACGAGGAGAGCCGCGCGGCCTTTTTGGCGGGCAATAGTCGAAGTGGCGCCATCGACCCGACTACAGTACGCCAGGATGCTGCGGTCTATGTTGGAAATGGATCGAACCCCGCTGGAAATGATGATTCTGGGGTCGCAAAAAATTGCGGCGCGATCGGAGACGCAGCAGGCACGCCCCCTGACAACGGAAGGGATGGGTCAATTTAACCGCAGCCGGACCGATTGGAAGGAACGTGTTGTTTTTCGACTTGCGTGGATAACGGCGAGTCGTTGGTCCGAGATTGCGGCCTTAACCCCAACAGTTTCACACTGGAGCCGGACGGGACCCTAACTTTGGATTGTCCCGTGGCGCCAAAGACGGCGAAAGCGGATCCCCACCGTGCCCCGCGGTTCGTGAGGATACGAGAGCGGGATGCGTTAGACACTATAACGTTATGCAGGACACTTCAACACAAAGAAAAGCTCACGAATCTTACGGCTGCCCAAGTCGAACGAGCTCTGGCTCCTTGAAATGCATCGGCTCATTCCATAAAACGCGGTGCGTTGCGGCACGCTGCTGAAATCGTGGAGACGCACAATTTGGATCCACACGGTGATCTTGCAGTTGGCGAAGCACGTCGACCCGTTCGACCTTCCCCAGAATACTGTTCGATATTTGTGGAACTAAACCACAATGCTGACCCAGGTGTCGTTGCTGGCTGTATTGATGTGAAGGGAGAAACGGCGGAAGGGCAGGAACCCTGGTTGAAAGCAGAGGAGCGTTTTTTCTTTGGTTTTCATTCTCACTCCGCTACAATTACGAGACTCATGCAAGTTTGGGGCCTTGTCGGGCGGTCCCCTTTTTCTCCGTTCTTTTTTACATTAGGCAAAAGCTCACGGAGGACTCGGGTTGATGACGCGCGATTATTGAAGGAAGCGGGAATAATCGAGGACGCTTTGTGTGCAACAACAATCGGCTGGATAACGGCTTTTTGGTGGTCGAGGAGAAAACCACCGGCTTGCAACGACGATGGATTGCGTAGCCACGCGACAAGAACAGAGACGTCCCTTATGAGTCTAATGCTCCTCCTTTACGCATTTCCCATTATTTGATGCCTGTGATGGCTGAGACCGCTTCCTGCCTGGAATTGAAGGCATCCTTTTTTCAAGTCTCTTTACCGCGGGAGACTCGGCATCTCTTTCGATGCCGCGTGGAGGACGGCACGCTGGTGGAGCTCACACGGCTCCCAATGGGATACAAGGCCAGCCCAGAAATCCTCCAGATTGTTACTTCGGCAATTGCGGTGGTGACGACGGTGGCTCACCTCCTCTGGGCTGCATCTCCATTGGTGCGTGTCGACGTTTGGATCGATAATGTACGCATTGCAGGGTCGAAAAGCAATGCAATATTGTGGGAAGCCCAAGTGCTTCGTAATGCGGACGGCCGTCGCGCCACGATGGGGGAGGAACGCGAATCGGGCGTCACGCATTACACCTTCCTGGGGGTGCAGTTTGATCACACTCCAGACGGTATCCCTGAGTGACAAGTTTGTCCTGTCTGTACGCGCCATGCCGGCGCTTAATTCTTTAACCATCGCGGAAATGGAGGTTACGGCGTCACGCTTTTTATATGCGGCGGCCATTTTGGGCACGCATTTATGCGACTACCACTTTTTCATCAAGGCAGTGCGACGCCAATTATCCGCACCTAACCGGGGGATTGTGCTGGAGACATCCCCGGCCAACCTTCCGCCGGCAGCGGTTGGTTTGGGCGAGGGATTACGACACATCATCGAGAACAATCGCAAGCGAATCATCAAGCCCACGGAAAAGGCATCGGCCGCCATCATCGCGGATGCATCGCTCCAGGGATGGGGAACCGTTATCATTCCAGACCCCGGCGACGTTAAAATTGCCGGA